TTTTGCTAAGTGAAACTTGTTAACTAAATTTTTTTCTTAAAATAAAGACTTTTTCACAATGACTGGTACAGACTATCTGCTCACCAAAAGTAGGAAAATGACTGGGTGGTTGAAGACAATTCATCTTAATACTAATGTATTTTAGTGTGAACTAAATAATTTAGCATATCTAATCATATGTTTTCCTTTATATTTTTAGAATGAGGCTAAAATAAAAATTAAATAAAAATACTAAACATGACTGGTGGAAATGGTGATAGAAATACACGTGGAAGTATAAAAATTGATGCATATAGTCCTGCCCCACCCTCTTTGTGACTTGTTTGCTATATATTCTTCACAGACCACTTTTTTGTAGTATCTTATCCTTTATTATGCTATAGTCAGATGCATCATTCATAGCCATATTTTTACATGCTGCATGCATCATGAGGTCATTAACCACAATTTTGTTTTTTATAAAAAGGTCCTGAATTGAGTGTTCCTTTTCATACTCAACAATTATTTGTATTTCTATAGAAGACAAATTAGGATTAAAAAATTGCCACCCAGCTAGCAGTGGAAAGCAGTATCCAAATTCTAGGCACTCTCTGCACACAGTGTATTACATCACTTTTAATTTTATAACATATTAAGCAACACAAGATTTAAAAATGTAAATGGAGTTTGTTTTTTAAAAACATCCATTGGCAAAGGAATAATTTTGTTTGGTATATACTGTTGCCACACTGGTGGCACAGTGGTTACAGTACTTGTTGCTAACCAAAAGATTGGTAGGTTGAAGCCACCTGCTGCTCTGGGAGAAAGATGTGGCAGTCTGCTTCCATAAAGATAGCCTTGAAAACCCTGTGGGGCAGTTCTGCTCTGTCCTATAGGGTTGCTATGAGTCGGAATTGGTTTGACAGCAGTGGACATCGTTCCTCCAATTTAAGGATCGTGTCTATCTGGCATCTTTATTGCATGGAAATACCTTCCTGTTCATTTACAGAGAAAATGCTCTTCGGACATGTTGAAAGAACAATTGACATATGTCCTAAGGAAATCTCCCTTATGGGGTATATAACATCGGTATCGTCATGCCCATTTTACAGACAAAAGCAAAGCAGAGAGGATTAGTAATCGAGGGCACACAGCTTATAAATGCCGCAGTATGATTAGAATCTGAGATATTTTGCTCCAGGGTAGAAGCAATTTAACCTTTGTTCTGTTGCCTCAAGGCCAGAGCAGGAGGGGCTCAAAGACATCTGCTGAATTGTCTTGCAGCATGCAGCCCAGGTGTCTGACATCCTGACAAAGGTAATCATAGAATATCAACAGGACAAATCTGGGTTCGTCATTTTATTGCTAAGTTACATTAAAACTGCTCTGCCCCTTTTTTCTCAGATCTTAAAATGTGATTTTATAAAGCTGTTCCCACATTCGGTCATATAGTAGGTGCTCACACAGGACACATTAAAATATACAGGTAAACTACAGTCTTAATTCCAGCCTTTTCTAGGCACCTAGCTCATTCGGTCCAGATTACCTGCCAACCTTCCCTCATGATGTTCAGTTTCAGCAGCTGGAGTGGCAAGAGGTGGAGAGAGCAGATGGGGAGGCATGACAGGTTCTAAGAAAATAGGGCAAGTTCCCTATGCTAACTTCAGGATGCTGATAATGGAAGGAGCAGGTCCCAGAAATCTGGATAGGAACATTTGGGAAATAATGCTAGATTTTAAATTTCAGGGTGACCTTGAAATCTATCAGCAGTGATGCCCTCCTGCTAGGAGAGAACAGGCCTTCCATTCCTGTGGAGGCCATGCCAAGGCCTCTTCTGAGGGAGTTGGGTACAAGGTCTGCCCCTTTGCTCACTGCTTCACTGCTTCCTGAACAGGGATCAGCAAACTACTGCTCACAGGCCAAAATCCTGCCTGCACCTGGTTCTGTATGTCCCAAAAACAAAGAATGCTCTTCACAGATGAATCGGTTTGCAGCTTGCTGACCAGTTCTGGGATCAACTCCCACTCAAGGCAGGGTCAGCCAGGGCAAGCTCAAGATACCTGGAATGTCCTCCATTTGGGAATCTGTTTCCTTCCTGTTTGGATACATGTTAACACCAATTCTTCCTGCTGGTCCTGCCTTGCTTCCTTCATTCTCAGGTGTGGGTTGTGGTCCTTGCTCCTGGGGGAGAGTTCAGCCATCCTTGGGCCTGGTCAACAGCCAAACCACAAAGGGGAGTCTGAATTCCAACCCATGGCTTAACTCCTGCACCTGCCTCTGCTTGTCAGACAGAGCCTGGTTAAGGCCCAAGACCCTTTGGGTGAGGGGCAGGTGATACTGGTATCCTTTTGCAGAGAGGGACTCTTCTGGCTCTGCTTAGGCCTCCTTTGAGAAAGGCAGGGGCCCCAAGGAGGTTACTCAGCATCTTGGGCCAAGGGACACCAGCTCCCCTCCACTGCAGGACAAGCTTCAGTGTGAGGGTGGTGTGTTCGAGTTTTTCATCTATTCCCCTTTCCTTCCTTTTGGGCAGAGAACACCCCCAAAACATGCAGTTGATTTCAACTCATGGCAACTGTGTGTCAAGAGTGTGTGCTCAATGGGGTCTTCAGTAGCTGCTATTTCAGAAGTAGATTGCCAGGCTTTTCTTCCAAGGCATCTCTGGGTGGACTCCAATCTTTGGTCATCAGCTGAGCACCTGTTTGCACCGCTCACGGGCTCCAATCTGATACCCAGACCCATTGTCATCAAGTTGATTGTGACTCAGTAGAAATGCTCCATAGGGTTCCAAGACTAAATCTTTATGGAGTCCAACTGTGACATCTTCCATGGAACGACTGGTGGGTTCAAACCATTGACTTGGTTAGCAGCCAAGTGCTTAACCACTGCACTACCAGGGTGCCTTTCAATCTGATAATAGAGTGCTTGACTTGACAGCATGCACACTAAAATTGGAATGATAACAAAGATCAGCATGGCACCTGTGTAAGGATGACATGCAAATATGTGAAGCATTCCGTATTTTTCCAGAGGGAATAAATAGTGTAGTTACAGAGCTTTCAAATGGAGAGGAAATCAAGATGATTTTGAGATAATGTTAAATTTGGGAAGAAAGTAATAAATGACAGGGTAACCTCAAAATTCTCATCAGAATAAAGAGGAAAACCAAAATCTACACCCTTTGAGTTGATTTCTACTTGTAGTGACCCCCATAGGATTTCCAAGGCTGTAAATCTTGACAAGAGCAGACTGCCTCATCCTCCCATGGAGTGGCTTCAGGGTTCGAACTACTGCCCTTGTGGTTAGCAGCCAAATGCTTTGACCACTGCATAACCAGAGCGCCTATAAATATTTAAAGAAGTAATTTAACAGATAATAAAATAATAGTAATGAAGGAAACGATAGAAAAAAATTCATAAGCAAAATGAGCAAAAATCACAAAATTATATGGAACCAAGGAAACATCAAAAAAATTAAATGAGCATGAAATTCATACTTGTCAGTTACTAGCTGAATTTAAATGCACCAGTCAAGAGATGGACAATTGCAGAATGACTGAGAAAACATGACCCGTCAATATTGCTGTCTACAAGAGACCTTAAGACAAAAATAGACTAAAAAATCAGTTTCAAAAAAAAAAAAAAGCAAATGATAAAAAGGCAGAAGTCGCAATATTTCTGATAAAATATAAAACAGAAACCTTCATAAGAGACAAGGAAGGATATTATATAATGATTAAAGGATCAAAGAAGACATAATCTGATGATAGGAAATCTTGATTAAGCAAAGTATCTCCCCAAAAAGAATTACGCTTTGATTAACCAAAACCAGGAAGCTCTGGTAGCATAGTGCCTAAGGCATTTGACCGCTAACCAGAAGGCTGGTGGTTCAAACCCACCAGCCACTTGGAAGGAAGGTTGGGCAATATACTTCTGTAGTGATACCGCCTCGGAAACCCGAGGGGTTACTATGAGTCAGATCTGACTCCATGGCAATGGTTGCGTTGCGTTTTTTTTTTTTTTTAAATTCAAAACCAAACTCATTGCCATCAAGTCAATTTCAACTCATATTGACCCTCTGGTTTTTCGAGGCAGTAAATCTTTATGGAAGTAGATTGCCCAGCCTTCCACGGAGTGGCTGCCGGGCTTGAACCTCCAACTTTCTAGTTAGCAGTCAAAAGCCTTGGGCACTGTGCCACCAGAGCTCCTTATGTGCTCTCATTAGTGGACCTGAATTACAAAAATTCAACTTCATTATTTTGAGTTTCATCAATGAGAATTAGGAATATTCTTAACTTTACCTTTGGTCTGTGGACCTAAAATATTTATTATCTGCCCCTTTAAAAAAGTTTATTGATACCTGTTCTAGAAAACTAGCAGCAAGATTGGACTCAACACAAAGTATGAGTCCTTACTACAAAAGGAAACGGAGTTTTCACCAAAAAGCTACAGGGTGTGATTAAGATGAATGGACAGGACTCAGCACATATCAGTGATTAGGTCTTGAAGATACAAGAAGGTTGGTTATAAAACTTGAGTGATAGATGGTGTCTATGTGACTCAACCGAAGGCAGACTGGGTAGTCTACATCCGTAGAGATACCACTTCGGAAACCCAATGAGGACTGCTATGCATCGAATCAACTCCATGGCAGTGAGTTTGGTCATTGGTTTATGTGATTCAAAGGGGGCCCTGATGGTGCAGTGGTTAAATGCTTAGCTGATAACCCACCAGCATCTCTATGGGAAAAAGACGTTTT